AAACAAAAGCAAAACCAAAAAAACATCAAGGAAATAAAGTATTAAAAGTCAGGAATGACAGAGGAGCTATTACCACCAATCTTACAAAAACAAAGAGGATTATAAGGGAATCTATGCCAATACACTAGACAACCTGGATCAAATGAACAAATTCCTAGAAAGACACAGCCTACCAAAACTGACTCAAAAAACCAGAATATGCTTATATAGGTAGAGACTGACTTAGATTAGACATGGTGGTGTACACCTATGAGCCCAGCTATTTGGGAGGCAGAGGTCAGGAGGATTAAGGTCAAGGGTAGACCAGGCAAAAAGTTAGCAAAACCCCATCTTAGTCAACAAGCCAGGTGTGGTGGTGGTGCGTGCCTGTGACCCCAGCTACATGGAAGGGTCATACTCTGGGGCTAGCCCTGGAATAAAAAACATGAGACCCTATCTAAAAGGAACAAAAAAACAATTTTTAAAAAAAGGACCATGGGGAGTGGTTTAAGTGGTAGAGCACCTGCCTAGCAAGCACAAGGCCCTGAGTTGAAACCCCAGTATGCAAAAAAAAAAAAAGAAAGAAAAGAAAAAAACTTCCTACAAAGAAAAGCCCAGGATCAGATGGTTTCACTGCTAAATTCTAGCAAACATTTAAAAAATCAACATCAATCCCTCACAAACTTCAAAAAACTAGAAGAGGAAGAAATCCCTCCCAAGTCGGTTTATCTGGCCAGTATCATCCTGACACCTCAACCAGACAAAGGCATCACAAGAAAGTTCGAGTCAACATTGCTCATAAACATCTGTGCAAAAATCCTCAACAAAATACTGCAAACCAAGTTCAGCAGCACATAAATGGGTTATGCAGCAACCACACCCTGGCCAGAGACTCCCAGCCGGAGCCAGCTTCCCACAGCACAGTGGCCTGCCAGAGACACTGACCACAGACTGGGACACTGAGGTTTCTGAGTGAAGCCCACATGAGAATAACAGCCATTGCTGACGCAAGGCCACGGACACTGAGAAAGCATCCTTGTGAACGCCTTTCCGTCCACGTTAGCCCACCTAATGGTGAGTCAGTAACCTAACGACTCATCTTTATCTGGCTGTTCACACTGGTCCCCATCTGTGTGTCTGCTCAGAGAGCAGGAAAAGTGACGATGTCTGTGGGTCCACTTGACCCCTGTGGCTATATAGTAGCTGAAAAGCAGAGTGTCTACACACACCAAGAATCCACACACACCTCTCCAGCAACAGAATTCCTGACCAGAAATGCTTGGGATCTAGAAGTGTTACAGATTTTGAATTTTTCAGATTTTGGAATATTTGCATAGACTTTATAAAGTGAGCATCCTCGTGTGACAATCTGACCTCAGAAATGCTCCAAAATCTGAAACTTTTGTTTGTTTGGTGTTTATAACCCAGGCCGGCCTCAAACTCTCCTTCCTCCTGCTTCAGCCTCCCAAGTGCTGCTATTATATGTGTGCACCACCACACCCAGCAGCCAGTGCTTTTCAAGAGTACCTTCCATGTATCTGTCCTAGACACACACACACACCTTTTGAGAATCTGGTGCCTTATGCTGAAATCTCCTGCCCCTGCTGCCTAAAACTAAAAGATGATGACTTCTTTGAGGAGACTGACACTCTTCCTCAGGTAATTCTTTTCTTTAAATTGTTTTATCAACCACCCACCACCCTTTGTACTACCATAAAAGCTTTTTCAATCCAAGAAATGCCCATGAAGACCCAGTTCTTCATGTCTGCACTCTGTCTCCTCAGCATTAAGTCACCGTGCCTGTGTTTTAGATAATTAAGCCTTAGGATTCCTTACTCTTTACTGGTTTTCCTGGGGCATTTGTCCATCCCAATGAGGCTGCTCCTCCTTGACATTTTCCTTCTCAGAGCACCCACCAAGGGCTTTCGGCCTCCCTGTTAAGGCTACCACACCATCAGATCTTCCTGAGAGCTTAGCTTAGTTGGAAGGCCTGCTCCTAGGAAAGTCCTTTGGCACAAGCACAATGTAGGGCCCAAGCCACATGACTGCCACCTACCTGGGCTCCAGAAACAGGGGTGCACACCTCTCCTAGAAAGGCAACAAGAATGGTGCTGGCTCATGGAATGGTAGAATCAACAGAGTAAAAATGTCTATACTCCCAAAAGTAATCTACATGTTTAATGCAATTCCCATCAAAATTCCAATGACATTCATTAAAGAGATTGGAAAATCTACCATGAAATTTATATGGAAACACAGGAAGCCACGAATAGCCAAGGCAATACTCAGTCAAAAGAACAATGCAGGAGGTATCACAATACCTGACTTCAAACTATATTACAAAGCAATAACAATAAAAACAGCATGGTACTGGCACAAAAACAGATATGAACACCAGTGAAACAGAATAGAGGACCCGGATATGAAGCTACACAACTATAATCAACTTGTCTTTGACAAAGACGCTAAAAATATACGATGGAGAAATAGCAGCCTCTTCAACAAAATCTGCTGGGAAAACTGGTTAGCAGTCTGCAAAAAACTGAAACTTGATCCATGTATATCACCCTATACCAATATTAAATCAAAATGGATCAAGGATCCATTATCAGACCACAAACTCTAAAGTTGATACAGGAAAGAGTAGGAAATACTCTGGAGTTAGTAGGTATAGGTAAGAACTTTCTCAACGAAACCCCAGCAGCACAGCAACTAAGAGATAGCATAGATAAATGGGACTTCATAAAACTAAAAAGCTTCTGCTCATCAAAAGAAATGGTCTCTAAACTGAAGAGAACACCCACAGAGTGGGAGAAAATATTTGCCAACTATACATCAGACAAAGGACTGATAACCAGAATATATGGGGAACTTAAAAAGCTAAATTCTCCCAAAACTAATGAACCAATAAAGAAATGGGCAAGTGAACTAAACAGAACTTTCTCAAAAGAAGAAATTCAAATGGCCAAAAAAACACATGAAAAAATGCTCACCATCTCTAGCAATAAAGGAAATGCAAATTAAAACCACACTAAGATTCCACCTCACCCCTGTTAGAATAGCCATCATCAGCAACACCACCAACAACAGGTGTTGGCAGGATGGGGGAAAAAGGAACCCTCTTACACTGTTGGTGGGAATGTAGACTAGTACAACCACTCTGGAAAAAAATTTGGAGGCTACTTAAAAAGCTAACATTGATCTACCATTTGATCCAGCAATACCACTCTTGGGGATATACCCAAAAGACTGTGACACAGGTTACTCCAGAGGCACCTGCACACCCATGTTTATTGCGGCACTATTCACAACAGCCAAGTTATGGAAACAGCCAAGATGCCCCACTACTGACGAATGGATTAAGAAAATGTGGTATCTATACACAATGAAATTCTATGCAGCCATGAAGAAGAACGAAATGTCATCATTCGCTGGTAAATGGATGGAATTGGAGAACATCATTCTGAGTGAGGTTAGCCTGTCCCAAAAGACCAAAAATCGTATGTTCTCCCTCATATGCGGACATTAGATCAAGGGCAAACACAACAAGGGATTGGACTTGAGCACATGATAAAGCAAGAGCACACAAGGGAGGGGTGAGGATAGGTAAGACACCTAAAAAACTAGCTAGCATTTGTTGCCCTTAATGCAGAGAAACTAAAGCAGATATCTTAAAGCAACTGAGGCCAATAGGAAAAGGGGACCAGGAACTAGAGAAAAGGTTAGATCAAAAAGAATTAACCTAGAAGGTAACACCCACGCACAGGAAATCAATGTGAGTCAATGCCCTGTATAGCTATCCTTATCTCAACCAGCAAAACCCTTGTTCCTTCCTATTATTGCTTATACTCTCTCTACAACAAAATTAGAGATAAGGGCAAAATAGTTTCTGCTGGGTATTGAGGGGGAGGGGAGGGGGGAGTGGGTGGTAAGGGAGGGGGTGGGGGCAGGGGGGAGAAATGACCCAAGCCTTGTATGCACATATGAATAATTAAAAAAAAAAAAAGAAAAAAATTTGGAGGCTACTTTAAAAGTCTAAACAAACCATTGATATACCATGTGACTTCCAGCCAAACACCATTTCTATTCACAATAGCCAAGTTATGGAAACAGCCAAGATGCCCACTACTGACGAATGGATTAAGAAAATGTGGTATTTATACACAATGGAATTTTATGCAGCCATGAAGAAGAACGAAATGTTATCATTCGCTGGTAAATGGATGGAATTGGAGAACATCATTCTGAGTGAGGTTAGCCTGGCCAAAAGACCAAAAATCATATGTTCTCCCTCATATGTGGACATTAGATCAAGGGCAAACACAACAAGGGGATTGGACTTTGATCACAAAAAGCGAGAGCACAAAAGGGAGGTGAGGATAGGTAAGACACCTAAAAAACTAGCTAGCATTTGTTGCCCTAATGCAGAGAAACTAAAGCAGATACTTAAAGCAACTGAGGCCAATAGGAAAAGGGGACCAGGAACTAGAGAAAAGGTTAGATCAAAAAGAATTAACCTAGAAGGTAACACCCACGCACAGGAAATCAATGTGAGTCAATGCCCTGTATAGCTATCCTTATCTCAACCAGCAAAACCCCTTGTTCCTTCCTATTATTGCTTATACTCTCTCTACAACAAAATTGGAGATAAGGGCAAAATAGTTTCTGCTGGGTATTGAGGAGGGGGGCGGAGTGGGTGGTAAGGGAGGGGGTGGGGTCAGGGGGGAGAAATGAACCAAGCCTTGTATGCACATATGAATAAAATTAAAAGAAAAATATAAAAAAAAAGAATGGTGCTGGCTACGTGCTGCCCCTGGTCAAATCTGTAAGGCAGGAGAGATGGGGGCCAGGAGTTCTAGACTAAAGGCTCTGTGTTGAGCTCCCCTCACTTCCCAGCTGCTTATCTGTAAAGTGTAGCCATTGTCCCCACTGTTGCTTTGTACCAGGTAGAATGAGGAAAGGGAAGAGAAGATGGTGGCAGAGAGCAGGAAAGGGCTGAGCAAGCAGTGCTGGTGCCTCACCTGTCCAAACACATACAGCAGCCCAATGGTGCCTCCTGTCTGCCCTCCGAGAACAGAGGAGATCATGGAGTAGACGCCACCACTGCCCACACCACTATGTTCCCCAACGCCGATGCCAGACAGCACAGTGACAAGGGCCACGAGGATGACGAAAGACACCAGAAGCAGGCCCAGGAGCACACCTGTGTTTCCCTGCAGTGGAACAGCAAGGAGCTTGGTCAGGGTTAGGAACAGCCCACCAGCCCCCACTGGGAGCAGTGACCACCTCCCCCACCCTGGAGCCACCGTGGGGTGATGGTGGACTGGGCCACAGAGGGGGCCAGCCAGAAAAGGACACAGAAAGTGCTACAAAGTCTAAGGCCAGCAAGAATTTCTACATGAGTGGAACCCACTTGCCTTCAAACTCTCCAGTGACTTCCCATGGCCTACAAGGTAAAGTCAAAGCTACTCAGTAGCTCACAAGGCACCTTCTAATCTGTCATGCTGTGCCCTAGCATGCAGGAACATGCACTCTCCCTGCCACCTCTCACCCATGCCAGTAATGCCCTTCCTGCTCATTTGTCTGGTTTGCCAGGTTAACTCTAATGCATCCTGGAAGACTTAGGATTTCCTCCTCCAGGAACTGCCCCTGCCATTTTTCCTCTGGGCTCCTTCAGTACCCAGTGCTTGCCATACCAAGTCTCTTTCCAGATAAGTCCCTACCTCTAGGCTGTGAGCCCCATAAGAGCAGGAACAGTTTTATTTCCCTTCATGGCCTGGGGGCTGAGCACAACCTCTGCACACTGAGTGCATACTAAATGCTTGTTGAGTGAATAAACACACTCATGCAGACAGACACACTATTCAATATACAAAGCAAGAGTACCAGAGAGGAAATGAACAAAGGACATGTCAGATGCAGTGCTGCACATTTTATAAGAGCAGAGACAAAGGAGATTCTGGAAAGGTGAGACACAGGTGTGGTAGGTGTTGGAGAGAGATTTAGGAGTGGGTAAAGCCAGCTCAAGGGCAGAGTGACTAAAATGAGCTGAAGAGGTGTCCTGGAAGTCAGGGGTGCTCTGTTTCCTGTTCAGGGGTGATGTCTGGGCTCTACTGCTGGTCTAGGATGGAGAACAAGGACTGCAGCGGTCAGATATAGACAGCTGTCTGCCCTTCTATTTCCACTCCTGGAATTTTACTACGATTCCTACTAATTCCTGCTAATTTGTACAAATACTCTTGGGGGTATTTGCATTTTAACTCTTCCATTAACTGTGAACTTCACATGGACCAATCATGATCCCCTGGAAAAATTCCTTTCTACTGTAACACTGCCACCCAGTAGAGCAAGGAGAAGAAAAGCCCTCCGTTGGATAGATGTCCTGTCAGAGGCCACTGCGGGAGGAAGGCCTGAGAAGGTGATGCTCATCTGGTTTTGGAGTGACCACAAGTGACCTGGCCTGCGGGAAGCACTCAGGTTGCAGGCAGAGGTCTCGTGAAGAACCCTTGCAGCAAGCAAGCTGCACCTTTCCCCATTGTTCATGGAGACCTACATTTTCTTTCTCAAGATTTTTTCACGTATTTTTTTTAGCTTGGAATACTCTGTTTATTTTTATTAACTAAATGGAAATTGTTGGGGAAAATAAAACAGTATAGAAGTAAAATGTAGGGTTAAGGATGTAGGTCAGTGGTAGAACGCTTGCCTAGTGTACATGAGGCTCTGGGTTCCATTCCCTGCAGCATTAAAAAAAGGAAAAGACAAGAAAAAATTCATGAGAAGTGAGGAGCTGCAGCAGGGTGTGATACAATAGCTGTGACAAGGCAGAAGTAGTCACTGTTGCCCACACAAATCTTTGACTAGGAGGCCTCTGCCCATCTGACCCAGTGTGGAGACAGGAACAAGGAGAGTTTCCCGGGGGACACTCCAGGCTGGAAAAGGACAGGTGTCTGCAGAGAGGTAGGGTTCTGAATGCAAAGTGTGTGCTGGCCAAAGTGTGCAAATGCAAGGTGGGCAGAGCCAGCTCTGGGGCTGAGTGGCCTTAAAGTGAGCAGACAGGGAGCTACTGAGACTCCACCTCTCTTTGCTCAGTTTCCTCTTATATAAAATACAGAGGATGATACTATTTATCTCACAGGTGGTCAGGAAATACTAAATTTTAGGAGGATTAAATCCACTTAATGCACTTTGAACACCATCTGATATATAAATGTATGGCCTTATTTGCTATATTCGTATTTTGCTATAAATCTTAGGCTCTATTATAACTATTAATTGTTATTACACAACTTATAAATATGCCACTTACTCAATCTCCTCCTTAATGGCCAGATTGGAACATGAGGATACATGTGGACTCCCTCTAGAGAAACAGTGCCAATAGCAGTGTGGGAATGTGTACAAAACCCTATAACTGACAGATGCTTCACAACACCAGTGGGATCTCTAGGGGTAGAGGCAATAAATAACTGCAGTGATGAGATGGGGCCGAAGATCTCATAGGAGCTGACCAAAGCCCACTTGCCTCACCCCACTCCACCCATCACCCAGCCCCAGAGGGCCCAGGCCACATGTGAGTATGATATCTGAGCATGCTTGCTACTGATTTTGCTGAAATTTACATTTTTAATGAAATTCTATCATTCTATTCTCTTCCTCCATTCATACTTGTAAATTGTCTCCAGGTGAGAATAAATATTCTATACCAATAATATCTTTAAGTTTTCTTATCAGAACTGCCACTTCACCATTTTCCAAATTATTCTTTAGAGTTAATATTTACTATTTTAAAATAATTTTGGCATGATCTCTGCTTATTTTAACTTCATGCCATTCTCTACCTTATTTTTGGTATTTCATATTTGCCTTTGTTTTCATGATCAAATATGATTTCTCAGGTAAACTAATGTCAAAGCTGAAAACCAGAGATCACTGAGGGCAAAAGGATGTTATCTGTGTGATGGATAGCCCCAAAGAAGGCCCCAGTAAGCCCCAGTGAGCCCCAGCTCCTGATATTCCTGCCCTTGCATAATCCTTTAGCCTTGAGTTTCACCTATACCTAATTCTTTTTAAGTATGCAAATATTTTATTAGTCATTCAAAATTATCATATTGGTTGTAATTTGTTTAATATTTTTGGCTTCACTTTTGTAATAGCTCAGACATTAAAGGGCTGAATTAAAGTTCAAGTCTCTTAGGAAATCTGTTGAAAAATAAACTTGCTTAATGTCTTTTCTTTTCATCTCAAGGCATATAAAGTTCACATCCACTGACAGCCACAAACGGTTCAATTCAAATTATTTATAAATGCAAAGGCAATACTAGCATTGTAAACTTTTATGTCAATATAAGCTATGATTATTCATATATATATGGTTTTTGTGGTGGCACTGAGGTTTGAACTGAGGGCCTTGCTAGGCAGGCACTCTACCAGGCGAGCTGTCTCCAGTCCTGCTTGACTGGCTTGCCTTTTGTTCTAGGCAGCCTGTTTGGTCTACGGAAGTTCTACAGTGTGAGAACTGCTCAAGGCACACATCTGTATGGGAGGCCCTGGGACACTTTCAATCTAAAACATAAAGAAGGGAGGGGGAGGGGGAATGAAGGAGATTAAGGTGAGGGTATATGTTGATGGACTTCACACATTTGCATGAAATAGAACAATGAAATCTCTTGCAATTGCTTTAAGCAGGGGGTGGAGGGAGAGGATTGGGGGACAAATCATGGGAGCAGTGGAACTAATGTACAATGTAAGCCTAATCTGAATTATCATTATGAATCCCTCCCATATAGTGAATATATAATAAAAAAACTTTTTAAAACCATAAAGAAGAGTCCCTTTGTTCCCTGTGCAAAGACAAACTTGTGCCCCTCTGACCAAGCACCCCCTCTCCCCATCACATAGTGACATGTAGTGAGGAGCTGTTGCTTTAGGAGGGCACACAGTAGTGATGTGAAGAATAGAAAGGGTCACAGCTAGAGACAAAACCGCCCATCTGATCTCTCTGCCCGTCCCTAGTCCTGCTCACATGTGCCCTGCCTACATGTAGTTAAATTCACAGTAAAGCTCCATGGGAACCTCTGAGAACCGAGTTCTCAAGGTTCTCCTTTAGAAAGCAGAGCCCACTATGCACTGTGCTTACCTCCCGTTTCATGTTTCTGGAGCATCTGTGCTTTAAGGTATCTGTTACTGGCATTGTGGAATGCCACGGGTAACAGCTTTCCATGTCATGAGACCACCAGAGACTCCAGGGCCAACAGCTTATCACTCACCACCAGCCAGCCAGTCCTCAAGAAAAGGACAACCCCAAAAATGTTGATCATGCAGGATGTGAACACACCATCCCAGGTCCCAAACAGCACTGGCTCCCACACAAACAGCTGGATCTTCCACCAGGGCTGGGGCTGGGCCAGGGCCCCCTGCAAAAAGAGCACAGGAAGTCAGCTGGGCTGCCATCAAGGAGGGTCAAGGAGAGAACACACACACACACACACACACACACACACACACACACACACACCACACACACACACAGTATTGAAGACTGACTCTATAACGAGATCCCTATTCTCTCCCAGTAGCAGCAATTGCTCTGCCCAGATGTATCAGAGATGAGTTGTCCAAGCAACCCAACCCCTTTACTTCTGGTTGCTCATGCAGACTACATTTCTCAGCCTCTTTGCAGTTATGGTCATGTGACTGAGTTCTAGCCAATGGCATGCAGGTAGAAGCAATAGCAGAACATTTTGAGTGTGGGACTGGGAGTCCCAGTTCAGTCAAGGTCACTCACTCTGGGCAATGCTCTTTCCCTTCAGCCCTCCAGTTCTAGGAACAAGTGAGGGCAGCTCCCAGCAGTTATTAATTTTCAGATAACCTTACTTTATGCTTTTTGCTCCTTCAGCCCTGTTTAAAATACCTGTGGGAGTTTCTGTTTTCCTATCTGAATACTGAAATGGTGACTCCTACACCTCCTTCCCTTCCAAGACCCTAGGATTTTAAAGCTTCATTTGGCAGTTTTTTTGGGCTAAGAATTGGTTCAGCATACTCTCTGTTCATTTTTCCAATTTAAAAATAACAAAAGCATTTATAAACACTCAAATGGAAACTCTTTGCTAAGACTAAAAGCTAGTGAGAATACTAAAATGATCTCAAACAAAACTAGTAGTAACTCATGCTGTGAACTGCTCTTGCATAGGCTGAGCAATTAATCTAAATTCAGGCATCAGTAGAGTCTTCCAGTTCCCTTAAACTATACAGCAGTGATTAATGAATCTCTGTGGGGTGGAGTAGGTGGGGAGCGGAAGCGCCCAACTCAGAGTCACTGTGTGCAATGAGTCTGTAACTGGTGCTCATGTGTTATTTATAAACACAGCAAGGAGGCAGAAAAGTCAAAAGTCTAGGGGAAAAAAAATCTAAGATCTAGAGTCACAGGGACATGGCTCCTCAATGGATGAGAACAAAATGCACCCATGACTGAGGGTCAAAGCTGGAATCAACTACACTTGCTCATCTTCCTCTCCTACCACACACTCAGATCAAGGAAGGGTGTCAAAGAGAATAGTGGTCATAAGAGTCTGGAAAGGGCAGGGGAGGGATAGAGGGAGGTTGGATAAGGGGCACCTTACAATTAGGTAGGAGAAATTAGGCCTAGTGGTATACAGCACTCCAGGGTGACTAGAGTTTACAACCACTTATTATACATTCCAGAAAAAGTAGAAGAGAGGAGCTCAAAGGTTCTCATCACAAAGAAATAATCAATGTTTGAGAAGGAAATGCTAATAACCCTGACATGATCATTACACATTGCATACATGTATTGAATTAGCATACTGTGCCCCATAAATATGTGCGAATTTTGTGTGTCAATTAAAATTTAAATAGACTGGAGGTATGGCTCAGGTGGTAGAGGGTTGACTTTGCAAGCATGAAGCCCTGAGTTCAGACCACACACACACACAAAAAAAAGATCAGGGAAATGGGAGGAGGATTCAGAAAAGATCAAGGAAATGGGAGGAGGATTCAGAGTTCAATTCGAGGCCAGCCTGGGCTACTTAGCAAAACCTTGTCAAGGAAGGGAGAGAGGGCAGAAGGAAGATGCTCCTGAGTGCCTCTACCCAGTTGTTTCTATTGCCTGGAGAAGAGAGAGGAATGGCTGGGATGAAGGGCAATGATAGTTAAGCCAGTTCTCAGCTATCTTGCTTAGGCCCCAGGAGAGAGGTCCCAACTCTTGGTAGCTGTCTTTAGAACTCAGTTTTCCTCAGATGGGGTCCCAGTCACCAATTCCAAAGTAACAAGAATATCATTCAGGAGGATCCAAGATGGTGACTAGAGGGAGAAAGCAGACAGCATGATATCTGTCAGTCAAAAATCTTCCTGAGACACTGGAGCCACTCTTGGCAGAAAAAAACCACCAAGAAGAAGCAAAACTCCAACACCCTGAACTCCCAGCCCACACAAAGCTTCTCCATACCACGTTACACTGAGAAACCAGGAGGGCTCCTGCTCCACCAAACACCGGCTCCAAACCTGCTTGGGAGATGCAGACCAACAGGTGAGCAAATAAGCAGCACGTGGTACTTCCACAGCCACCCCTGGGATAAACCAGCAGAGCCCCCTGGACAGACTGACCCTGCCCCACAAAAAAAAAAAAAAACTGAATAATAAACAAGGAACTGAAAAGGACACACAGCAGAGGGGGCAGGGTGCCCTGAGCATACCAGAGAAGCGGGGAGAGGCAAGGAGCTGCTCTCCACGTGAACTTTCAGTAAACAAAGCCTGCAAACGTAGCCAACTGGCAGTAGGCAGCAGATGAGCTGCTGCCTGAAATAGGGCAGACAGTGGTTCACAAAGCTGTCTCCTGACCCAATCACCTGGCAAGACAACAACAGAGCTACTGCTTAAATACTAACACCAGGATTGGATGCTGAAGGAACAACACCAGAACTACTAAGATTGAAACTCCATTGTTCCTGAACCTGGAATTTTTTTTTTCTTTTTTCTTTATTCTCTTTCTCTCTAAGTGCTTGTCTTGTTCACTGTTGGTTAGTACACCATCTCTCCCTGTTGATTTCTTTGGTTCTTTATTTCTTTTCTTTCTTTCTCTTCTTTTTCTTTCTTGGTCTCATTACTTTTACTATTATAAGTTAGCTAATATTAAATTGCACACAGAACAGGGACAGAAACAGCACCAAGTGGAATGATGGGAAGATGAAAAAGGGATGGAAACCATTCTCCCCCCAAAAATAAATTAGTACAGTATTCAAAGGGAAATGAAGAAAATGGATACCCAGTTCCAGACCCCAACAAAACAAAGATAGACTATCCCAAGGAACCCAACAAAGCCCACAAGAACATCCTGAAAGAAGAAATCTTGCAAGAAATCACTGAGAATTTCATGGTGATGTTACTAGACAAGGTCAACCAAAATGTATAGGAGGCACTCAAGAAATTCCAAGACAATGAAAAATAAAGAATATGAGAAAACACAAAAACAAATAAGTGAACTCATAGGAGCCCTAAATAAATACCAAAGTGAAACAGAGAACACCATAAATAGAGAGATAAGTGAATTAAGGACAAGAATTGACAATATTAAAGAGGAAGTGACCCATGATATGGAAAACTCCAAGAAAGAAAAAAAAGAAACAGAAATACAAAACACAATGGAAGGCCACTCCAGCAGACTAGAACAAGCAGAAGACAGAATCTCAGAACTTGAAGATGAAATGGAAATTAAAGGAAAAACTGAAGAACTATTAGTCAGACAACTCAAGACCCAAAAAAGGAATATGCAAGAACTCACCGACTCCATCAACACCAAACCTAACAATCATGGGCATTAAAGAAGAAGAGGTACAAGCAAAAGGAATTCGTAATATATTCAACAAAATAATGACAGAAAATTTCCCAAATCTAGAGAAAACTATGCCCATTCAGGTACAGGAAGCCTCCAGGACACCAAACAGACTTGACCAAAATAGAACTACCCCACAACAATTATCATTAAAACAACAAGCACAGAGAATAGAGAAAGAATATTGAAGGCTATAAGAGAGAAAAAAAATAATAACATACAAAGGTAAACCCATCAAAATCACAGCATATTTCTCAACAGAAACATTAAAAGCAAGAAGAGCATGGAATGAGGTATTCCAGACACTGAATAAAAATAACTCCAACCCTAGATACTCTACCCAGCAAAACTATCATTCAAAATAGACAGAACAATAAAAGTCTTCCATGATAAGCAGAAGCTAAAACAATATATGAACACCAAGCTGCTACTACAAAAGATTCTTCAAGGAATCCTGAACACAGAAAATGAAAGCATACAAAATCATGAGAGGACAGGCAGTACCAAACCACAGGAGAAGAAAAGGCAAGAAAGTAGAGAGTAACATTATTTAGCTGCACACAATCAAACCCTTAAACAATAAAGACAACTAAATGACAGGAATCACCACATACCTATCAATACTAATACTGAATGTTAATGGACTTAATTTCCCCATCAAAAGACACCCTTTTGGAAAACTGGATTAAAAAGGAAGATCCGACAATCTGTTGCTTACAGGAGACTCATCTCATTGACAGAAACAAGCACTAGCTTAAGGTGAAAGGCTGGAAGAAGATTTACCAAGCCAATGGCCCCGAAAACAGACAGGAGTAGCAATACTTATCTCAGACAAAGTAGAGTTCAAACCTACATTGATCAAATGAGATAAAGAAGGACATTCCATGCTAATAAAAGCAGAAATACACAAAGAGGAAATAACAATTATCAACCTACATGCATCCAATGTCAATGCACCCAACTTCATCAAACGTACTCTGAAGGACCTAAAAACATAAATAAACTTCAACACAGTGGTAGTGGGAGATGTTACTACCCCCCCATCACCAATAGATAGGTAATGCAAACAAAAAAATCAATAAAGAAATCCTAGATCTAAATCACACCATAGATCAAATGGACCTAGCCGATGTCTACAGAATATTTCATCTAACTTCTGCACAATATACATTCTTCTCAGCAGCCCATGGAACCTTGTCCAAAATTGATCATATCTTAGGGCACAAAGCAAGCCTCAGCAAATATAAGAAAATAGAAATAATCCTATGCATTCTATCTGATCACAATGCATTAAAACTAGAACTCAACAACAAAAACAATACAGAAAACATGAAACAATTGGAACTGAACAACACATTGCTCAATGATCATGGGTCATGATGAAATAAAAGAGAAATTAAAAGTTCCTGGAAGTTAATGAAAATGAAAACATGACCTACCAGAACCTATGGGACACAGCAAGGCAGTCCTAGAGGAAAGTTTATAGCCATGAGTGCATATATTAAAAGGACAGAAAGATCTCAAATCAATGACCTAATATACCTCAAACTCCTAGAAAAACAAGAA